TGATTTCTTCTATCTTCATAAAGAATTCCTCTGTTGTTCCAGTGATGGGGATCAGTTTTCTTAAGGAAGGAGCTGTTGTGCAAGAGAGAGGGAGCTGTGATAGCAACTGATGGCATGAAAAACCACCCATGCCAGTTTGAGGACAAGCTGCCAAGACTTTGCCAGAAAAAATCTGAAGCAAAGCCCCACTAACCTGTTGCTTGAATTACTGTTATATTTACTTTTAGATAAAGCTGCATGTAGCAAGTGATTCACAGTCTCTATCTGCCATCTAACACCCAACTATCAGCTGATGTATTTACAGTCAGTAGGCTGACAGGGTTTGAAATTTTGGGTTAGAATCCATTAGGAAGAGCTGGAGCAGAAGGGAGGAGTTCTGTGCTCAGGCTGGTGCTTTAGGTGTGGAAACATGAGCATTTATCTTGTGCTTAAGGAAAACTCGAGCAGAACATTGTGCAAAATGATTCTGGGTTTGCAAGATCGTTGGGTGAAAGAGTATTGAATCATGGAGCCACAGAATGGTTTGGGGTGGAAGGGACCTGAGAGATCATCCAGTTCTACCCCCTGCCGTGGGCAGGGACACTTCCACTAGCCCAGGTTGCTCCAAGCCTTGTCCAACTTGGCCTTGGACACTTCCAGGGATGGGGCAGCCACAGCTTCCTTGGACAGCCTGGTTCCCCAAGTGAGCTCAGTCCCAGTGTTTAATGCACACTGGTTTCTCTCTATTCCCCCCAGTGCTTTGAGAAGAAAGGGGTGAGGTCTGTGTTGTAGAGGGATGAGCTGAGGCACAGGGTGGTGGAAGTTGCCCAAACAATGTGTAAGAGTCAAGAATGGAACTGGAGAGGAAATACCTGTCCCGTTGGAGTCAGGACTGTGTTCACTTGGCTTTGCCTGGGCTTTCATTTGGTAGTGACAGACTCAGGTTTTACCCTCAGTCACCCCTTTGCCATCAATTAAAAGAAGAATGATTTGATTCAGAGTTAGAGGAGTGAGGTGACATCAGATTAACACTTCCCAAGGTGAGACTCTCATGGTTGTCAGTTGTTTGAAGGCCAATTAAATGAAAATCTCAGCAATTCACTCAGTGTTTTATTCACAGGCAGGAGCTAACATGGCTCCTGAAAAACAGACAGGTTAGCCAGCGTGTCTTTGAATTGCTCAAGTTCCTGTTGGGATCTATTGGATTTACTGTAATCTTTAATTATAAAGTTTAATTACTTTAGAATGGATTATCAATGTTGGTGTCCGTCTCGGTGAGTTGCCTGGTAACGTCTCTGGTGCTGCAGCACTGTCTGTTCTGCAGTTCCAGGCTTTTAAACCCACCAAGTAAAAGCCTCTGGATATTTAGTGCCTGCCTAAATGGAACATCTCAATCAGCTGAGTTAACACACAGCCTTTTTTGTTATCCTTTTGCTGTTACGTAAATACATTACTGAGGACAGAGTCCCAAAGAAGTAACCTGAGAAGTTACTCAGCTTTCTATTAAAGATTTTCCAGTGAATTCCAGCTTTTTTGTATCATTCTGTTTGTATGGATATTTATATCTCCATGTGATAATATTCAAAACAGCAACACGTAATAAACATGATGCTGTTTCATCACCTTTCCCGCAGTCAATCCTGAATTATACAAGTTTATGCAAGTCTGATTAGGGAAAAATACATCCATTATTCCAAACATAAATGGCTTATCCTGGTGTGTTCAGGCAGACTTTTTCTTCTGCCTGCAACACTGGCAGTCAGTCTCTCTTTTTCTCTGCATCTTGTCATCTGGCAAATTATTTTTTTACACAGTTGGGGAAAATATATGGAATTATGTTGCAGCTTAAAAATCCAAACCAGAACAGGGCTATTTTGGGGAAGCAAGAAAGTTAGAGGTGGGAAAGAACAGATCTTGGGTTTGAAAGGGATGAGGCAACTCATCTGCCTCCAACTCCAGAGAAAGGAAGAGAGGTGGGAAAAAACCAGTTAGGAATACAATGGGGAAAGAAATATTTAAAATTACCCTCACCTTCCCTTTTTGTTAACCCAAACTGGAAATTTCTCAGATGCTTTGTAGTGAAATGTTTGAAGGGGAGTTGAAGAAAGGAGGCTGAAGAGCCACAGAAGTGGTTATCTTGTGAGGATAATGGCTTTGTGTAATGTTCCTTGGAAGTACTTGAAAGGGGCTGATTGGTCAGTATATTTAGATTTCATCTTTTAAGCATTTACTAATTAGCCCAGTCTAGATGGATCCAACTAATCAAATAGCTGTTTGGGAATGCTCTGCATTTGGGAGTCTTTCCTGTTAACAAAAGGAGGGCAAGTGATAGCAGGGAGGAGGTTTTCCCCCTTTTTTTTGTATTTTTTTCTCTCATCTCTCTGCTTTTTGCAAGACCATAAACTCAGTGGCTTCGAGTGGTTTAGTTATTAAATGTGCTAAAGATCTGTGCATCTCTTCAAAGTGAAAACACTTCCTTGGTCAAGTTTTTATCCTGAAACCTGTTTCATCATTACCTGGATCACAGAATTCACCAAACACCTTTTTGTTCTGCTGCTGCCTGTATGAAATATGTGGGCTTGAAAGCCAGATTCTTTTTGGGTTTGGATGGACCAAAGCACAAGGAAAGATAATGGCCTAAATGATGAAAGTGGTAGTGCAGATTTTCAGAATTCAGTTTCGTTATTTCTAGTTGATTTTAATGCATAATTGTCTGACTGGGCTGCTGAAACTCTCAAAAGTAACAAATGACTTACAGGTTGTAGAAAAGAAAGAGCAATCTGACAAATTAAATTATAAATTTGGAAGTCTCTGCCATAAATCAGCTGAGAGCCAGAGTGATTAGAATATCAGGGCCAAATAGATAATTATCTATTAGATGGCAGATGGCTCACTGGTAAGAGCAAAATCTAAAATTATGGATCTATTTCCATAATTTTTGTGGTTCTGGGGCCATTTTTCAAATGTAAAATGGCATAATGTTAACACTGATGTATTGTGATGTGTCATGACTGGAATGGCATAAAATATTCACTTCTAACCTTCGTGTCTCATCAGAAACCTGCCTGAAACACCTCAGCAGGCACATTCCCCTCCTGCACCTCTCAGCTCCGGCCCCTTCCCTTTCAGCCTGGAATTTGGAACCTGGGTCAGAGAAAGCTTTTGAGAGCTCCTATAAATGTGGAGTCCCCCCTTTTAGAAACTTGATGAATCTCTTCAGTGGTTTGGAAGTTGAGCTGCTAAATTTGGCCTGGAGAGGCAGCTGCAGGGAGCCAGCACGGGCAGAATGGTGCAGATGCTTTTGGCTCTTAAACTTTTCCAGTTGCTGCTTTTGGAGAGAGGAAAGCTCGATCTTGGAAAATGAAAAGGGAGGGGGGGGGCCCACATTATGCACCTTGCCTCCCAAATCTACAGGGTTTAAAAGCAGCAAGCAAAATTTTCTTCACGTAACGGAAAAAACCTGGCAGTTTGATGAGGCAGCGTATCCAATCTCATCCATCATCTGTCTCCCTGACTATCAGCTCAGGACAGAACAGAGAAGGAGAGTTTAAGACACCAGAGCCAGTGCAGCCCAAGAAATCATTTTGTAGGGGAACTTTCTGCAGCACCGTGACAAATGCAGCTTAAGTGGCTGAATAGGCAAATGAAGAATAAATGTGTTTGTTCGAACAGCGCTCGGAGTCCTGGGTGAAGTGGGTCACTCTGGGGAGCCTGTCAGGCCTCAGGCTGTCCCTCCTTGTGTGAGGAGACAGAAGAGAGGAGGAGATTTCCCTTGTAGGACATAAGTGACTGTTGAAGAGAAACCCAGGGTAGTTTTCCATCACCTCCCTGCGATGGAGGTGCTGGGGAGCTCTGGATCGCAGGGAGCCGTGTGAGGCAGCTGTGGCAGAGATGCCTGGGTTTGGAAACTTTGGGTCTTCTGGAGTGGAGGGGTTAAAAAAGCAGAGGGAAGGAATTAACTTTAAATTCCGTACTCAGCTTAAAATGAGGCTGATTCAGAATTACAACGTTAGGAGTTTCAGGCAACAAAATAGAGTCATTTCCACATCCTCTCCATGTCCAGGCTCTCTGTGTGCCAGAAGGGTGGGTCCTCCTTCCTCAGCTCTGATTTAGAAGAGGAGTGAACCCAGTAGATTGACTTGCTGTTTCCTTTCTGTCAGGAGCCCTGCTGTGGGAATGCTGTCTTTATGGAAACACCATCTTTCCTGCAGGGAACTTCAGGATCAAGCTCTGAGACATAAAAGCATTTGCTCTGTACTGTCCGAGAGAGGCCAGAGTCCCTCAAAGATTTGCCCTCTTCTCTTGATGAAGAGTGAGAACTTCCCATTTTGAATCCGCTGCCACTGGAAAAAAAAAAATCCAGAGATTTAGCAAAAATAAAGTAAACACCCTGAGTCATATGATTGAGACATGTTCAAGTGGATTTTGTGGAGGATTTCTTCCCCCCCCAGTCATTATTTAGTTTCCTCTCCACTGACTAATTCGTCCCACACTGAGTTTTTAAAACCCAAGTTGACTTTGTTTGTCCAACATTCCATCTCCTGGTGGTGTCAGAGTCCGAATGTTACCAATCAGTCCAGCAAATGTTTATCCTTCCTCCATATGACCAGCTTTATGAAACTTTACTTTGGAAGCTTGATGTTTGAAAAGGGCTGGGGGGGGATCTGGCGATGTGGCTTTTTGGGGCTGTGTGCTGATTAACGAGGATACTGCCAGAGGCTTGTGATGTTGGGCTTGTGAAACACACAGCTGGAGGGGAAAGCAAGAACTGAAATGACAGCAGAAATTCCAGACCAAAGTAACCTGCACATTCCTGATGCTGAAATAGAGCAGCAAAGGCTGCTGCAGACACGAGGCAGGGGCACTCTGTGGAGGAACGACTTGTTTTAAACTGTCATTTTCTCTCAAAAGTCTGGTTTGAGTGAAGCATTTTAGACAACTCTTACCTTTGTTAGGCTCAGCAGAGAATATTGTTGATTCTCTGAAGCCGCTTTCCTCCCCTTTGTTGTCTTTTTTTCCAGGGATGGAATCAAAGAATGTCCAGGTCACTGCGATGCTGGGGCTGGAACTGCTCAGAGCCAGGCTGGGTGGGTTATAAAAGGCAGCTTTATTTGAGGCACTCCTTAGAAGCTGACAAATCCCAGTCTCTCCCAGATGAAGAAAAGTTGCTTGTAGGTTTAATTTTTACTACCAGCTGGAGCCAAAGGGGCAGGAGGACAGAAGAGGCTGTGCTGGGGTGTGTGTGTGTGTGTGTTGGAACCTGCACAGACTTGCCTTGCAGTCCTCAGGGGAAGGTTGATGTGCTGGGCCCGGGCAGGACAGTTCAAATGTCCCAAAAGGAATTGTTTGAGTTGGAAGGGGTTTCTCAGAAATCACCCAGCCCTTGTGCAGAACTCTCTTAAGGATGAGACTTTGGAGTTTTGATAGAAGATATCAAAATGTTGTGGATTTCCCCTTTGCAAATATCTTCTCTTAATTAATAGAAAGAAAACTTCCGTGCAGTCCTTAAGACCAATTTCTTCCTGTACTTAGGGATAGATCAGCTTTGGCTTTACCATTTTGAAATACTGATAAAATTGAAATACTGATGAAACTGAAATTCTGAAATACTGATACTCCCCGAAAAAAAGGTCAGAAAGTCAGAGGTAGAGACATCTTCCTACAACTCCCTGTTGGTTTGGATAGCTGAGGGGAAAATAGGCTCTTGGTGTGTTGGATACTGTGGTACTTCTGAGATGTACCAGTCCCAAGTTATGCACCAGAAATGATGAGCTGGAGACTTCCTCAAACCTTTGGATGCAGCTCCACTCATCGTGTTCAGTGTGAATTCAGATTTTATAATTAATGGGCCATTGCTTGCTGGGTTTAGCAATAAATGAGAAACTCCCATTCCTGCCCAGAGCTGAGGTTCAGAAGACTTTCAGTCCTGTTAAGTGTTTTTATTCAATTTTATTCAATTTTATTCCATTTTTCTCTTCACAGATGATGAAATTTGCTTGGGATAACTACAAGCAATATGCACTTGGAAAGAACGAGCTGCGCCCGCTGACCAAGAACGGCCACATCGGGAACATGTTTGGTGAGTTCAGACTCAATTTTAGTGCAATTTCATTGAATTTTTTAAAGGTCACATGTCAGTTCCTCTCTCTGCAATGCGGTGAGGAGTCTGGAACAGCTTTGATCTCCTTCCTCTCTCCACTTGTGTGAAGCAAGACTTTGAACCCCTCTCCTAGAGGTGACCTACCCCTGTGCCATCGCTGGGAATCTCATTCCTGCAGGCATCTCTCAGTCCCAGCCTGTATCACCTCTCTGTGCAGGTCTAGCACCAAATGTGTCTGCAAACAGTGCTAAACTGAAAGTGTCTTTATTAAAACATGAGGGCAGTCCAAGCCTGACAATGGTGCTATTTGTCTGAGCTTGTAGACATCAGGACCTGACCAAACTGAGCATTTTCTCACCCGTTTCTCCACCGTGGAGCAAGATGTGAATTCCATGAAATATTGAGTGAATCAATATTAAAAGTTCCTTACAGTATGTGCACACTGGCTGGTATAATTTTACTCTTTAGCAGATTACCTCTTTTTATGTGAGCTGCTTATATAATTTCAGTGCTGTTCCCCTGCTCGTTCTGGTGGGATACTTGTTGACTTCTTGGGGTACTTTTTGATGCTTTGGGATATAAATCATCTTTTTCTTTTTTTTTGCACTCAAAGCATTTCCCTGCTCTGCTCACTCTGCCCCTGCTTGGCCTTGTGTCACAGGTTATGCCATGGTGAGACCAGCAGAATCTGCCTGAGCAGCACTTTCCCACCCATCCTGAGGGAATTCTTGCTGAGCAGGGGTCTCTCAGCTCCTTTACAACAGGAGTCTGTTTTGCAGAGATTATCTCCTGGGGAGTTTCCTCACCCAGATTAGAGTGGAATAGAGTTCTTTAGTGGGCAAATTATCTGTGAGTTTATTTCCTCAGGGCAAAGGGATAGGACTGATGGTATGAAGAGCACTCCCATTTCCTGTTTTGTACTCTGTAGGTGTCCCAGTCTTTCCCTACATAAGGCACATGACATGGGGATCTTTCAGAGTGGGTGTGGAGATCTTGTGCTTTGTGTGGAGACTGAGTTCAGCCTCCTACAGAGACCTCCTTAGCTCTGGGGGGCTGGGAGATGTGTGTGAAAGGGAAGGTTTGAAGGTAGAAATGAGTCAAGTGCCTTCTGACACCATCAGCCTGGGGAAGAGAAGCTTCAGGGTGACCTGATCGTGGCTTTGCAGTACCTGAAGGGGCTAAAAGAAATGTGGAGGGAGACTATTTATGAGGGCCTGGAGTGCCAGGACAAGAGGGAATGGCTTCACACTGACAGAGAGTAGGTTTAGATGGATATCAGGAAAAAATTCTTTGCTGTGAGGGTGGAGAGGCCCTGGCAAAGGTTACCCAGAGAAACTGTGGCTGCCCCATCCCTGGAAGCTCTTCAGTTCCTCAGAATATCCCAGAGGGTTAACTCACATCTGATTGTGCAATACTGGGCTGCAAGAAAGCCACGTTAATGGCTGTGGGATATCTGGAGGAAGCAGTGCTGGAAGTGGGCTGGAAGTGTGTATGACAGCCTTGCTTTGTCAGGGGCTTTGATTCGGGTTGGTTTGTCCTTTTTTCTTGTTTCTCTTTCAACCCCCTCCAGCAAGACCCAGGTTTCTTACTTGAGAATTAAGTTCAGCACTAAGTTAAGCATTTTGCAGCCTTTCCATTCTGGCAAGCTTGTCAAAATTCCTCAAGGAACATGCCAGTAAACAGACAAAAATATTGAAAGCTTTAAAATGCATTTATCATGCTAAAACAATTGACAGTACTTATGCTTGTTTGTAGCGTGCCTGTGAGCACTCTCAAGGAAAATGCTTTGGAGCACAAGGATTTGCAGACAATTGCAGAAAAGAAGCTACATGGTACATTTCAGCCTTTTAATAGGCTTTTCCTCCTTTTAGCTGTGACTGGTAAAGAAGGGAAGCATTAGGCAATCCCTTGCTGCAGCCCTCTATCCCTCTTGCCTTCAGAGACTTTTAGAAATTAGGACAGGGCACTGTTGCCCTTCATTGTTGCCCACTGCCCCTGCTGTCACATCTTGCATCTTTTTATTCCTAAATGCAGATTTAAGGGAGGCCAGTTGGGTGCTCTCCAGGCTGGAGATGTCAATATTAAGCTGAGATTTCTCTGCAGCTGCTTGCACGTGGGAGGGAAGGAACCTCTTTGGGGCTATTTTCGTGTGTGTTTGTGTGCATGAGAAGCAATCAAGTTCCTGAAGGGTGATACATTTTGCTGTTGTGGATGTGATGCTCACTTGTAGCCTTCAGTTTAGCATCTCGCCCTGGGGGAAGTGGGGGAGCTGCTCTGGATCAAATATTCTCTCTCTAATCAAAGTAGAAATAAAAATAAACATTCACCTTCTGCTCCTACGTAGCATCCTGCTTCTCCTGACAGCTGTGAGTAGCATCCCTTCCCAGCGTTTTTCCTGCCCAGGTGGCAGGAAAATCACTGGCAGGAAAACTCTTGTATCCCCACATCAGTCAATCTCCTTGTTCCTCTGCCTTGGAAGGTGGCAGCTCACCTGGAAATTCAACTTGCCCACTCCCCAAATAATTTCTAGGCTGCTACTCCCACTGCAGGCAGCATCCCACTCCCTTGGACTTTGATCTGGTGACTTGGTCCTTACGTTCCTGCTTGTGATTGATGTTCTCCAGATCCTATTTCTAGGGCATCCATTTCATCAGGACTCTCCCACGTTCTGGACGTGGTTTATTTGTACAGAACTCCTCTGATTGCTGTCATTTATAATCACTGCAGCTTGAGAGCCCTTTCCTCAAACCCACAAGCTGTGCTTCTTTCATGAGCATTAATTATTCATCTGTGATGCTGGTGATAAGATGGGCTCTGCAGTGGGGTAAACATGTTTTACACTTTCAGATGTGGGATGATTTGCCTGGAAAATGTGCCGTGGAAATGGGCAAAGCACTCTGCCAGGGGTGGAGGGATGATCCCTTGCTGGAATAAAACCTGCACCACAAGGTTCCAGTGGGGATGGCTGCACAACTTGGGGGTTTTCAGAACTTGCCTGCAAGGTTTCTCTCTGCACTTAAGGTGAAACCTGCGGAATATGAGGCCCAAAACATGCTTTTTAAGGGAGATTTAAGGAAAAATGACACCGCTGAGCTCGTGGCTGAGGGCAAGGCTGGAGATCTGCAGGCACTTATGATGCTCCCAGTGCTGATCTAGTTATTTTAACCCTTCTTAACCATCTCAGCATTCCTGCCTTCGGTGCTGCAAGCATTCAATTTACTGATGTTTGCAGAGCATGTTGGATTCCTGGGAGCAGGGCTGCTGGAGAGGGCAGTGGTGGTGTGTAGCACAGCCCTTGAAGTGCACCTGTCACTGGGATATCCAGCAGCAGAGAGCTGAATTGTTATTCTGCCTGCTCCCCAGGTCTGTCATAGCCACTTATTTCTCTGACAAAATGTTTTTAAAATCCTGTTAGCTTTACAGAGTTTCTCTAGCTATGGGAGAGCGAGCTGGCATCTATTGCTGCTCAGGCATCAGCTGAATTGTCAGTTCCATTTTGATTGCACAGTCTTTTAACAATGATAAGGTAAGAAGCCTGATTTTCAGATATCTCCTGAAGTGTGCAGTGCTGGCAGCAGAAGAGAATCCTTCTTTGACTTATAACCTGAGCCAATTTGCTCTGAAATCAGTGAGAGAAAGTAAATATGGAGCCTTGGTGTGCTGTCAGACATTTTTTACCACCTTAATGCACGTTGGTATATTAATTTTAGTTTAAAAATAGCAATCCTTAACTAGGTTTCCCCTCTTGCTTCCTCTTTCCCCACTTGAAATCACACCTAAAATTATGAATTGCCTCGTTGCAGCCATTGCTTCTCTCAGCATATGCTGAATTTATGCAACACTGTGAGGCTCTGTAGCTTTATCTGATGTGAATCCATGTGACAACTGTCACATCCAGGGCACATCCAGGTCACCACGACCGGATGGCAAAGCTCTGACAGCAGCTGGATCTAAAAGGTGAGAGGTGTGTTTAGACCTCACCCTTGAGCAGGGCTCTGGTGTTGCTCCACGTTTGTTTGCTTGGTGACAGGACACAGGGAGATAGATCTGCACAGGGTGGAGAAATTCTTGGAAAAATCCGTGGCTGTGTTTGTGTACTCGGCTCAGACTTTGGCCTGAGCTGTCCCAACAGTTTGTTTGGAAGACAGGAGGTCGTTGCTCTCAGCTGCCTGGAAATGGTGCTATTTTGGCTCTCCAGCATAAAAAAAAGGGGTTGAAATGGCTGGGGAAGCAAAGCAGTGACCACATGAACAGGCAGAGAGGCCTCTGGAAAATTGTCCTGAGATCCAGAGCCCTTCAGGTTTGTTCTCCCTGGCAAATCCCACCAGGCCTTGTCACTGCACTGTGACACTGTGACCTGCCAGGCTCAGATCTGGCTGGGGATTCAGGGAACATCTTCCCATTGGATTTAACACCACCAAGCTCCTGTCACAGCCAGCTTTTAACAGCAGCTGCTCTGTGACTGTCACCTCAGGTGCTGGGCCCAACTGGACCCAAAAAGCTCCACATCCCAGGATTAGTGCCTTCAACCATCCAGTCTTGCCAGCTGAGCCAAACATTTTCCAAACAGCTGCTTCCTTCACCACTGATTTATCTAGGAAACCATGGAGCAGGCAGGAAGTGTTCCCACCTCAATTAGAAGCAACAGGAGTTGATGTATGAATACACATAACACAGGAAAGGTAATTGGATGAAAATATTAATTCAGCAACATTCCAACTACCAGAAGGAAATGGTAACCTCCAATTGTGCTGCACCTTTTCTGTCTATAAGTCTCTTGCCCTGGGATCACAAAATTACAAAACCCTGGAGTGTCCTTTTATGTGATTAAAATAATAATAATAATAATAATAATAATAATAATCATTGCTTTCTTAATTTGTATGCTGAATTATTCCTGCTGCCTGTTGCACATGACATTATATGGTTGGCTCTGTGGGCTCTTTAAAGAGAAAAATATATTGTAATGAAGATGTTGC